CAAGGCTTGCTGTGGGCCATGTCAAGATGGTGGTGGCTGCAGCAGTGCATCACCGCTGGCTGTGCCAGGATGGCTCCTGGTGGCAGCGCCTCGCCACCCTTGGAAACAAAAACTGCGCATGTGCTATTTTTATTTTATTCTTAAACACCTTCACAGGGGTGTTAACAACCTCTCTAACTGGGCCAGCAGCATGTCCATCTTCAGAGCTGACAGAGATTGGTTCTGTCAGACATGGTGGAAGCTTCTAGCAGCTTCTCACAGAAAATACCCCTGTAGCACCCTCCCCACTACCAAAAACCAGGCTGTGCCAAATCAACACACAGTCATAAAAAATTTCACCTGACTGCATTTCTCAAATATGGTGGATAATAGCTTAGCAATTTCGTCCACCAGACGCACAGGACCCACAGATTAATCTCATCAGATCCCATAGACTTGTACACATTCTGGTTCCTTAGATGGTCTTGAACTTGATTCCCTCCTACAGTGGGATTGGGGTCTTCATTCTCACATTCCTTGCATTTTCTTTTAATGACTTGGGCAGGGTGTCTGGAGCACTTGCTATAGAAGACTGAGGCATAAAATTCATTTAGAATCTCAGTCTTCTCCATATTCCAGGCTTATCCAGGTAGCCAGGATACTACTCACTTCTTTCTAGAGAGGGCCCACATTATCCCTAGTCATTTTTTTGTTATCAAGATACTATAGAAGCTCTTTCTATTGTCTTTGACATCTCTGGCTAGACTCAATTCTAACTGGGCTTTAGCTTGTCTTTGTTTCTACTTTCTGTAAACCTTTTTTTTTTATCTTTGAAGTGCTCAGTAGCTCCTTATCCATATATGGATGCCTCTTGGCATTTTTGCCCTATGTTGTTTTGTTGAGACACATCATTCCTGAGCTTGGAGGAAGAGATCCTTGAATATTAACCAGTATTCTTGTGCCCCTCTGCTCACAAGGGCTCTACCACAGGGGACTCTATGATATAGGTCCCCAAAGATGCCAGTCTGCTCTCCTAAGTCCAGGGAAAGTGATCTTATTTTATGTGATTTTATTATATGTATCATATATTATCAATTTATTGTATATTAAATATATTTATTGACAGTTTCTTTCTAGTACCTATTTTTAAAGATGCAAATTAAAAATTGTTAGCTTTGTGCCTGATGTGTTATAATGGAGATTGTTTTTCTATAAAAGTCAACTGTGGTTTGAAAGTGCTTAATTCTCGAAGATGACATTTGTTGTCTTTGGATGTCATTGTCAACAAATTCAATAACTTTATTGTACTTGAACAGTTTCCTCAAAAAAGTAATTCACACTAAAAGAACTCAAAAAGAACTACTCTGCCAACAAGAAGGCTTGTTTTGGGAAATACTGATTAGAAGATTGTTGGTTGTGAAAAAAGAATATAGCAGCCTTCCTTTCTCTCCCACATCTGAAATTTATCCTTGTTCAGCTCTCACATTTATTCAGCAGAATGAGTCATCTCACCTCATCTTAGCCTTCTGAAGCCACAATGACCCCCTAAGATAATCTCCTGGCTCATTTCTCTCACTAGTGGGAGAAGGCACACCAAAGAGGCAATGCACACTTTCCTGAGGAAGTATATGACTGACAGGTGGTTTATCATTGATATCCATCCCCAGTGACTTACATAAGCATCTGTGTACCTGATTTCTATAAAAGGTTTGTGCTAGGTGAAGCAGTTGTCTTGAATTAAAAAAACCCCAAAACGTGACCAATCCTTTTAACTGCTTATATTTTCTCAGTTACCACAGTTCAGAACCTGAGAATGATGGAGGTGTTTGCATATTGGAGGAGTGCACATCCTTTAGAGTTCTCAATAGCAGGACAGGGAGACAATGATCATTCACAGGCACTGAGGAAGTTCCTAGGCTGATGTTGTATTGAAAATCATTCAGTAAGCCAAAGTTTGCTAAAGTTTCCAGTGCAGGACTTCCTTTGATAGGCATAAAGGAATTTAGAAATAGGAAGTGAAAACCTAAACTATTTAATTTCACTTATAGTTGAATAATGTTGTCAAAAGTTTATCTCAACGTTCTTTCAAGTTCCACTCAAGGTGAGTTGAAACAAGCTTTTTATCATCCTGCTAAGGCCACTGAACTTATCATTGTTGTGCTTTTGTGTTTCTAATAATAATAAAAATAATTGATTATTTAAAAATTTTAATGTTTGTATTTTTATTCAAAGGAAGAAGGATATTTCAGGAAATATGAAGAAGGCAAAGCAATTACTTGGGAAATTGCATATTAATTTTTTGGATTAAATATGCCAGTGTAGCAGTACTGTGTGTTTGCTCTTTGCACATGTTTTTATTTACTCTGAATGTTGTGACTTGCATTTTTTTGTATACAAAAGTAGTGACAGAAGATAGCTATCCAGCCTAATAAAAATTCATTATATCACAGGCTACCAGTTACTCTATTTTTAGTTTCATTTTGAGTATTACTACATGAGCTGGCTTTCTAGACTGTGTCTTTTCCTCAATGAAAACATGATATATGCATGCAGAGCCTTACATTAAGATGCAGCAGACTGTGGAATGAATAATACCTGCTGATTGTTGTAAAAAGAGGTGGAGATCTTATAGGTTACTTCCTGTGTATGCTGTACCTCTCCCACCAATCCTCCCTTGGAATGTGTTTCAGGGATTTGCTATGAAAACTGTGGAGACATGTGTCCACCCAGCTGACTGAAACTACTGCACATGTGCATTACATGCATAACCACATGTATTCTGCTCTGAATACTTTTGGACAGTGTTAAATATCCTGTGTTAAATATCCTGCTTTACAGTTTTTTTACACCTCAACAGGCAGACAGATACTGTTGCAGGACATCTGTCAGACTATCTAAGCAGACTATCTGCTTAGATAGTCTGCACATGCTCTCTAACTCTGATATGACTCTCAGAAAATCAGATTTATCAAGTTTGTACATTATAGTGAGATGGCAGATGCATGCCTATTTCTGTGTAGGAATTCTTTGATATGGTTTACTGCTTCTTAAACTTAGTAAGACTCTTACCAGTAATTATGGTGATTTTCCAGAGAAGAGTGAGGAATGTGCTTAAGATCAGAAGGCAGGGTTTGTCTTTCAGTTCAGCAGATGCTTATTTTCCAAACTTTTTGTGTGTGTATACTGAAGCCAGGTTTTATGCAGTCAGGTCTACTTCTGATTACTATTTTGTTGATTTATAAAGTTTGTTATTGGCTTTACCTTTTTTTTTTTTTTTTTTTTTTTAAGCTATTTGAGCTGGCTCTCAAATGAATGTTACCACAAATGAGTTGATCTTAGAGTTGACTGCTAAGATCATTGAGTTAACCCAGCACTGCCAAGCTCTTGCCCAACCATGTTTCTAAGTGCCACAGGTGAATTTGATTGAATTTCAAAATTATTTCAGCCACCTTGAACCAGAATTTTTCAGCTAATAAATTTTCCTGGATTCCCTTCAGTCCATTTAGGACTATTAAAAAAAAAAAAACAAAACCCAGTTACATGGAATACATTAAAGGCAAACTATCACCAGGCTCTTATTTGGTACAATTAATCGGGAGTATCTGCTGTGACTCAATAAATCAAGAAATAAATAGTTAGAGATAATGTATGGTAAGACAGAAACACTGTAATTTTCTTACATGATGGTGTGAGAAACACACTACTTCTGTTTTTCTAAATGATTGATCCACATAGTACTTTGCATAATCTTCAATGAAGAATGTTATTCCATGATGCAATCATTACTCGCTGTGCTATTATTGAACATGAGTTTTGAATGAGTTGCAGCATAAAGCTGCCAGATAATTATATAAATTAAGTAAAAGTCAGAAAGACCCAAAGGTCATGTTCTTTCTGTAAAACTGACTGCTGTGGCTTGTGTACAATGTTTCTGGTAGCTAGTTAAGTGGTCATATCTGCAGATATGAAGAAACAAGGAGGCATATGAAGCAATGCTTACTGTTCGGATGTGAAAGTAGTGAATTCTGTTTAATATACATGAGCTATATGGTGGCTGCTTGATTTAATCAAAATTATAGCTTTTCCTAACCTTGTATAGTATTTTCACAGTAGTGTTTCTAAGTATACTCTAATAGAGTTTTGCATGTGTACATCATCATTAGGAATAACAGTCATTTGTTAACAGATACTATTCAAGAAGTTCCCTCTTATGGCTGAATTGAAATTTTCCTTTCTTAGCTCCTGTGTTAAATTTTAAGTAATTTCTATTTTCACTTATTTCAGTTTTGAGTAGGGAACAGACAGCTGATTCATGAAAGAAATTGTCCTGCCCTGCTCTGCACTGGTATGGCCTCACCTTGAGTACTATGTGCAATATAAGAAAGATATTAAAATATTAGAAAATGTCCATAGAAAGTTCACTAGTATGGTGAGAGATCTGGAGGGAAAGCCTTATAAGGAGTGACTGAGACCACATGATCTGTTTAGACTGGAAAAGAGGAGACCAAGGGGACACCTCATTGCAGTCTTCAACATTCTCTTGAGGGGAAGTGGAAGGGTGGATACTGATCTCTTCCCTCTCATGACTAGTGACAGGACTTAAGGAGTCTGAGTTCAGAAGCCTTTGGGCAATGCTCTCAGGCATATGGTGTGATTCTTTGTGTATCCTGTGCAGGGTCAGAGGTTGGACTCAGTGACATGATGGGTCCCTTCCAACTCAGCATATTCTATCATTCTGTGATTCTATGATTCTGTGATAACCCACAGAATTACATATATTTGCCTAACATCATTGTAACTGATCTTTGAAAAGTAATTTTTGTTGATTTCATGTATCAACATGAAAAAAGCTTCAAAAAACTTGTAGACTTCCAAAAGTTCTCACCTGTCAAGGCGTATGCAAGGTCTCATTCTTGGAACTGACACTCACTCTCAACCTATTTTGCTTTATACTAATCAGATTTTTTTTTTTCCTTTTCTTTAGATTGTGGTCTTTGTTAAAGCAATTAGAGAGAGGAGAAGCTTCAGTTGTAGATCTAAAGAAGAATTTGGAATATGCAGCGACTGTTCTTGAGTCAGTATACATTGATGAAACTAGGTGAGCTAACTACAGACATCAGCACTCATATCTAACACCAGTTGTAATTTACATGTCAGTTGTGAAAGCTAGTTGAGCCAAGATTTATTACTCATAGACAATATGGTTTTAATCATTAGAATATCATATTCTGTGTAGAACAGATCTTCAGTCCGTCATTTAAAAGGTTAAGTTTCCTGAAAAAAGGGAAGGAAATCAAAATCTATTATAAATCTAATTCACTTTTTTTCAGAGAAACATTTTCATAGTCGTTGCATCCTACTTTTTCTGACACTTTCTAAATTCCTACTCAACTATTTCTTTTGAATTATGTTAAATTTTTAACTTGTATGATGTCTTTGAAATTTAAAAAAAAAATTACTCATCACAGAGGTAGACTGGTAAGACTGTATGTTACTAACTCAGAGTCTAGAAATTCCTAGAAATGACCATAAATTACCTTTGAAAGGCAGAAATTTCAGAAATATTGATGAGCTAAAGATGTGAAGTCAGTAGATGATCATGTAGTTGTGCTTCAGAAGGCTGATACTTCTTGTTTCTCAGCCTAGTAGTGAGTTCCACAATCTGAAATGTAAGTACGTAAGAGAATAAACAAACCATTGAAGACTTGTACTAGTGTGTTTTGTTAGGGCTGATGAATCAAAGACTTTTAACAGCTGCTTTAATTAGAATATATGTGAGTTTCTTTTTTAATGATCTTGTAGTGCTCTCTAAGGAACTCTGTTTGCCCTTCTGTTTCCTCATCCTTCTAGGCGTTTACTGGACACAGAAGATGACCTCAGCGATATCCAGTCTGACTCTCTGCCCTCAGAGGTCCGTGACTGGTTAGCTTCTACTTTCACACGGCAAATGGGGATGATGCTCAAAAGGACTGAGGAAAAACCCCGGTTCAGGAGTATTGTCCATGCAGTGCAAGCTGGGATATTTGTGGAAAGGTAAAGTGTCATGAAATTACTTTGTTCTACTATCTACCCAGGTACTGCAGATTTCACCTATAGTATGTGATGACACAATGACAGGAGGTGGACAAGAGTATACCTTAGACCAGAAGACTTCAGAGGACTAGTGGAAGACTGCTGAATGAAGAACATTTTAATGTGCTTCTGTTAATGTTTCTACACATATCTGGGTAACACCTAAAAACCTGGGATTTAGTAAAAGATTGCAAACTGAAACAGCACCTATTCCTCTGTTCTTACTATAGTACAGATGTAATAGCACACTCAGTATAATTTTGACAGACAATATACACTTCTGTACAGTCCTAGGTCAGGAGTGACAGCATTGAAAATTTGGACAGATCGAACTCTCCCTTGCTTCCATTTACTTCCGTGGTCTAGTATTTCTTACGAAGTTCTAAGATACAGAACTAAGTCCTTTACCATATTATTACTGGAGCTAACTATAGATCAAAACTCATGTGAAAATTTTGCAGCTCAGAGAGCCATTGAGTCCTCTCAGTCTTCCCTCTTGTGATTTACATCACAACATGTTGCTAAAACTGATTTTACTTTTTTAACCCTTTAAAACATTTATTCATTTCAATTTGGACTCACTTCCACTCTTCACTGACCTTCTTTGTTTAAGCCAGGAGGAGGGCTGGAACATGTGAAACTGTCAGCATTCTTTGGACAGCCTGAAGGACAGCAGCTCTCAGATCTCTGGTGTAATTTTATAACAGCAAAATTCAAGTCAGGAGTGGAAGAGCAGAGCACCTTTCACTGTTCATCAGAATTGCAGTGACAGCCTAACAGCCCTCTGTGCAGGAGGTTATGCATATCAGACAGTGGTCCAAAGTCCAAACAAACTCACAGAAGCCTCCTTTGTCATGACTATAGCAAATATTTTTATCTGTGCACCAAAGTTACCGAACATGTGTTAAGAGTGGCAGCAAACTGCAATAAGACTAAACCTCTAATTTGTCCTTGGGACAGATTTCTCCAAGGTTTGACAGGTTACTTGTGAATTAACCCTCATTCTATGAGGAATTTGACAGGCTACTTGTGAATTAATCCTCATTCTGTGAGGAAATTGCTCAACAATTAAGTAAATGCAGAAAGCTGGTTCAGTGGGCTGATTTCCAGCTGACCTAGATCACTGTGACCCAAAGAAAGACATGTTCAGATATTATATGGCACTGGAGGAGGGTTGTGACTCATCTGAGCTAAGGGAAAGGGGTTCTGCCCCAGTTGTCTCTTAAGAAAATGCTATGGAGCTTCAGACTACAGAAAGGAAGGGATAAGAGATTGTGTGATTTGGGAATGGGTGAATATAAGTCTCCAAAGGTGAACGACTTTTTTCAGGTCTGAGTGCAGAAAATGACAAAGGAAAACAGCAGCGAAAGAAGACTTTGCAAAGGATCATTTCAGATGGGAGAAGAGAATTTTCCATCATCTCCTTATAGTCCTACAGAGCTTTAGGGCAAAAAAAGGGTGACCTGTGGAAAGGCATTCTAGCTATGATAGAGTTTCTGCATTTACCAAATCCTATTAAACACAGTGTGTCCCAAAAACAACTTCAAAAACTTTATGATTTGTTTAAAATATACTTTATAATCAAGTTTAAAATCTGGTACTTTGTTTAATATGGTTATAGATGTTGATTATTGCCTTGTTCTTTTTCTCTCACTTCCTGAAACACACACACATGGCAAACACCTAAAAGGTTTTATACTAATCTTGAAAACATGCAGACAAAAGTAGCAGCTGTATCACACTGGCATTGATTAATTTCATACAAATGGTTTCTGAAGTACACTCAGAATTAGCTTGCATGTGGACCAGCAAGGACTAAGGGAATTGAAAGGTCAGTTATAGTTATGTGCAATGGAAAATGGAGAACATTTTGTTTAGTCGAGTGTAGCCTTTCCATTTGATGAAGACTTGGTACTGGTAAATTCTTTGTCATGTTCAGCTCAGTAACCAAGCTATGAGATACTGGGGAGTGTACAATCTCAAATTAAGCTATACAGTATGAATAGTATCAAGAATATTGGGCAAGTTAGGAACAAAATGGAAGGAAAAAAGGTCCATATTCCAGTTAGGGTTTTCTGGGCTAAATAAAGTATCCTGTAATGGTCTGTTGTTTTATGAGTATTGTTGATTGTTTGTTTTGTTTCATTTAATTCTATTTATGTGTTGCTTTATCTATTTCATCTTGGTAGAATGTACAGGCGTACTTCAAATATGGTCGGCTTGAGCTACCCACCAGCTGTAATTGGAGTGCTAAAGGTAATCCAAATAAAATTTGGTGAAGGGGGGTCTGTACAAAGCATCAAAATAAAACTGTGATATTTGACATGATAAGGGAGGTCTTAATATTTGGTCTTTTTTTCTCTCTGACATTCAGTTAGTTCACATACATTAATCATTTAACTGGCCTAAGGGATTACCCTTTCAATAAAAGAAAGAGTGAAGTTCAAGACTGTGGTCATTTTCAGGTTGTGAAGGTTGCAATATAGTGATTAAAATGAAGATTTAGGAATCACTCACAACGTTTCACAAGGAAGAAAGAAAACACAGATGGAGAGAGATGGAGAAGGGAAAGGATCTGTTGCTGTGAGAGAAGGAAATTTCTTACATTGTTCAGCTTCAGGTATTAAAAGTGACCATCACTTTATGAAAATGGACCCTTCTGTGAGTTTTGAGGTTTCAGAGTGAAAACAGTTAGTCAGAAGTAGTCTGAAAAATAAACAATGGTTAAATCCATGGGGAATTGCAAGATTCTTGACTTAGGCAGAAATTGTCAAGACTACAAACAGAAGTTGACAACTAACTGCCTACACAGCAGCTTTGCAGATTACATGTTATATGTGGTTCAACCATGCCATGCAATGGTGGAAAAAGGTGATATAGTGGAGCAATACACAGGGGTATTAAGTATAAACCTCATTAAGACATCTTGCAGCATTTCTCCACACTGGAAATATTTGTAGTTAGGCTGTCCTTTTCATTTTTAATAGTAGAACTCATCAAAAGATGTGGAAGAATTGCAAGAAGAATGATCAAACATGCCCTTCATATACAGAATCAAAGTATCCACCCACACCTTTTTACAACTGCATGTTTACTAGTGCTAGCTTCACTCCTGAAATGGAATGTAAATTCTTTGTTCTTTTGCGACTACACTCCATAGCAGCATATGAGCAAAGATATCTATAATGGCACTATAATGAGTTCCTCAGCAGCAACAATTGAAGATCCATCACCTACACTCAATTGACTTAAGCCTTATAGAATTCCTCCCTTTTTTCTACATTTTCAAATTATTTGGTTGTAAAAAGAAGTCATTGTGTTAGAATAAGTTAAAACAAACCAATAACAACAAAGTCATTGACTAATTTTGCTCAGCGTGAAAAAACATATACCTGGTCATTGTGCACTCTAGAATTTTTTTTTCCAAAACTGTTTTGAGAACATTTCTTTGCCTGGATGTTTTTGGGTTTGGTAATGGATTTGGTTGAAATGGGAGTTACTATGAATAAATCAAAACAGTCTCCCTAGCAAAGTGGTCACAGCACCAAGCCTAATGGAGTTCAAGAAGCATTTGGACAATGCTCTCAGGCACATAGTGTGACTCTTGGGGATGTGGGTTCGATGAACCTTGTGGGTCCTTTCAACTCAGCATATTCTATGATTCTGTGAAGTCTTCTGTCTTAAAAAAACATATTTCATCTGAAATTTCTCAGTTCCATCTCCTCCATTGAAAATGATGTATTTTGTTGCTTGCTTCAGCACAGTAAGGTCAATTTAAAAACCTTTACAGCAACCTGACTGCTTAGTGTGCTCCATAAAATGACTTGATGACTTAAGCACAAAAAAGGGTGTAGGAGTGTACAATACACACACATCTTCAGCTGTTCTGGATTGCCATAATCAGCATTCTCCTCAGAGTCATGCTAATAAGGACAAGGATTGAGATGAAATGAAGTCAAAACAAGCTTATTTTTTTAACTACAAATTCTCATTTTTGCTGCTGTGGTCAAGAGGACATCTGCACTTAATAACCCAAAGCTGTGGAATCACAGCTTTGTGACAGATGTTGGTTTTAAAAATAATGAAATACTGCAGCTTCAGCAAAAAAAATGAAGGTTGTAGCAGTGCAAGTTCTAGATGTATAATCTGTCTTACATTTTCAGTGCAGGAGAAGTTTGGCTTTTTTTTTTTTTTTTTGAGGGCTTTCTCACTATATATTTTATACTAATTTATATACATCTTTCTCTCTATATATTTTATACTAATTTTTCTACTACAGTAATCTGTTGCCTTTCTGTATGACATGGGTGTGAAGATATGACTGGTTGCCATAAAAGGACAATCAGCCTTGTCTTTCATTTGAATAGTGGCTATACAAACCATTCAGAGTCATGTTTACAGAGTATGCTGTGGTGATCTTCTGTTCATCGGTCTAGTGCTAGAGACAGAACTTCACATTAATTACTGCTGAAGGAGTTACATGGTTTACAATTGAATTTTTCACCCTTTTCTGATGCCCATGCCATGACAGGAATATTTTCTAGGCTAGCAAATATACAGTTAATGAACACAGAACCTGTAGTCACAATGTCTGTAGTATAGCTTTCTGCTTATCTGTGGCTACAAAAATGATGTACCTTCCAGTAATGTTGAGCAGAATAACATCTATTCCTGAATTTACTTGTTAACTTATATACCAAGTCCCTAAGGTTAAGAAGAGACAGAAAGCTATGACACTGAGCATTTAGAAAAAAATCAGTGTTTCTCTTCATCTCTTGCTAGATAATGAATGCTGTCACCTCCCACAGCCTTCCCTAACATTTGAGATTCAAACTCAAACTTCTGCAAGAAGGTTAGACCTTAAACTTTAGATGTAGGAGCTGAGAAGTAAACTTCCCCTCCTTGATCTCTTGACTGGCCAGTCTGAAACACTAGTATATAATTTACAGCTGACTGTAACTTTCCCAAATGGAATTAGATATTTATTCTGTTATAAAGGTTGGAATTTTATATAATTGTTAGAACTTCATATATCACATAAGCCCAAAGAGGACCATCTCAGTATCTCAGGTACTAAAGCAAATCAGGATTTTTATGTTTTAGGATTCATCTTTTGGTGATTAAATTCCAGTGTAGAGAATTGCCATGTTTATAATAAACAAACAGCATATGTGTTCTTAATGGAAGCTTCTTAAACAGAAGTCACACAGTACTAATAAGTGTACTGATACTTATTCATTGGTTAAATTGATTATGAAGAATTTATTGAAAAATAAATAATACCTTTATATCACTACTGGAATTCTCAAATTGTAGAGAAAGTGAAGAAATTGAATGATCATGGCAAAAATTATGACCATATTAAATGTTTTCTCTACCTCCTCTTGCAGAATGTAGACAAGTGGTCCTTTGATGTATTTGCACTAAATGATGCCAGTGGAGATCATGCACTGAAATTCATTTTCTATGAACTTCTCACACGCTATGATCTGATCAACCATTTCAAGGTCAGTAGTTAGAAGATGACTATCTTCATTCATCTTGCATTTTTTTCAACTTCCCTCTCATCCTGCTATTTTCAATTAAAAATGCAATTTTAGTGATGTTTGAAGAATTTGTGAACATTGCACTTTCCCTAATAAGCAAAACAAGATGTGATTTAAGTAGTACTGTCAATTGCCATGAACTAAGTGGGGTTCCAAATGAAATCCATTGGAAATACTGCATTTGCTCCTCTGAGAATGATGGTGTCATTTTCCTGAGCTTCATAGGACCCTCAAGCATGCAGGCACAAAAGAGAAAAGGCGAATGTGAAAACAAATTCAAATTCATTCCAACTAGATTGGCCAGCAGGTCAAAGGAGGTGATTCTACTCCAACTCTGCTCTCAAAAGACCCCATTTGTAGTACTGCATCCAGATCATCCAGGTCTGGAGGTCTCAGCACAGGAAAGACATGGACTATTGGAGCCATTGTAGAGGAGGGACACAGAAATTATCAGAGGGCTGAAGCACCTTTCCTGTGAGAAAAGGCCAAGAGAGATAATGCTTTTAAGCCTGGAGAAGAGAAGATTCTGTGGATTGTTCATTGCAGCCTTCTGGTACTTGATGGGGACCTACAGGAAAAATGGGGGAAAACTTTTTAGCAGTAGGACAAGGGCTAATGATTTTAAACTAAAATAGGATAGATATGAACTAGAGATAAGGAAGATTTTCTTATGGTGAGAGTGGTGAAACACTAGAAAATGTTGCTCAGAGAGGTGGTAGGTGCCCCATCCCTACCACCCAAGATCAGACTGGACACTGAGAAACCTGGTCTAGTTGAACATGTCCCTGTTCATTGCAGAGCAGGTTGACTAGGTGACTTTTAAAAGTCCCTTCCATCCCAAACTATTCTATAATTTTGTAATTGTTACAGAGGTTTCCTCCAACTTTGAAGAGGAAATATTGCCATCTGTTTCTTGACCACTCTCCCCACACAGATACTCTGCCATCTCTTCCACTGTTGACATTTTCCATTTCCCAGGGTCTCCCACTCACTTAAACTGGAAAGAGGTTACAGATGCCTAGATACCATAATTTTTCAGGAACTACATATGCCTGATGAGACATCAAGATGTCTGCTTAGATCTGCATCCTCTGTTTGTATGTACCTAAGAGGAGCAGTGATCTTTTTATGGAAACCTTATCATTTAATGTATTTTCTGTCTCAGCAGATGAAACTGGAGAACCCATGTTGTCAGTTATATACATTACCACCTGCATAGTCTCCTTTCTAGAAATCCCCTGAATTGCATTTTTTCAGGTAATTGCAGTTACTCTTGAAGTCAGAAAAACATGGCAATCCCATAGGATGGGCAGGTTGGATTTTGCTATGAAAAACCCAGAGGTCTGATAAACTATAGTCCTCTTAGACTAGATTTTCTAGATTTGCTAGATTATGTGTTTCATTAGAAAGTCCTAACTGTGAGTAGTAAAGCAGAGATATATTCCAGTGGATCGCGAAGATAACAGGTAGTTGCTTGCAATCTATTTGGAAATATTTCTCCCTGGCAATCAATCCAGTGGTTGCTGTTACTTTTGATACTCTATGTGGGCTCCAGACAAAATTTCATAGCGTACTTATTTCTGTGTATTTACTTGTGAGAAGGATTCACATGTAATGTAATTATGGATGGAAAAACCAATTTGAAGTAGTAACCTGAATTAATTTGCTTTCTTGAGTGACTATTTCAAATGTTCTAGCATTTTGTTTGTCTGTACAGTACAGATGGCTCTTTGAGAACCTATTGTCATAACATGGCATCTGCAAAGGAGTGATAATTAGCATTGATTCCATGCTTCTCAGAAGGCTGACCAATCACTTTTATTATACTATACTTATTAAGAAACCTTACAGACAGTCATGATACAGATGGACCCAATTGGTCCTTCAATCTAAACACCATCACCATTGGCCAATTAAGAAACCACCCTTTGGTAAACAAATCTCCGTAACACATTCCACATGTTCACAACAACAGGTACAGCAAGTGAAGATCAGAATTGTTTATCATTCTTTCCTTTGATCTCACAGACTTCCCCAGGACAATGCCTGGGAAAGTTGTGCATTGCTTTCTGTGGCTAGAGAGATGAGAGATGCTACCACAACCTGTTATCAAAATACTCCTGGTCTGAATACTAGCCATTAAAGCTGGGGGGAGTTTGAGGGTTTTTTTGTTTGGTGATGGTTTTTGTTGTTGTTTTTTTGTTTGTTTGGTTTTTGTTTTTTGTTTTTTTTTTTTTAGTGGTTTTTTTTTTCTTTCCTTTCTTTAAATCTGTGCTGCTTTGTTTAGATTCCCATATCTGCCTTGGTGTCTTTTGTTGAAGCTCTGGAGGTTGGCTACAGTAAACACAAAAATCCTTATCACAACCTAATGCATGCTGCAGATGTCGCACAGACAGTCCATTACCTCCTTTTCAAGACAGGCACTGTGGTAAGTAAAAGACTTGGCATCCTGGATATGTAGTGAGTGTACAAGAGTTTCTACTTATTAATGAGATAATGATTATCCACAGTACGACCTGTTTACAGTCTAGACACACTTAATTTGATATAGCTGGACTAATAAAGGTAAAGACTTTGGATTATTTATGAACAGAGGGTAAGTGACATTGTTGATAACTCTTTTAAAAGTTATGTTAGGATGCATGAGAGGATGAATGAGAAACCCAAGCTTGGTTTTTCACTCTGCCACAGATCTTCTGTGTGAATCTGCCAACACACATTTACTGGAATTCATTTAACCTAATTTGACGAATTGCATTGTCTAAGCTTTCTTCTTAATTTAAGGTAGAGAGTCAGTACATCCAAATGATAATTCATTCCACTTACCTGAGCAAAACAAGTGCTGGGAACTGGAAATGCTGATCTCCATCCATTTCTCTACAGCAAAAATATCTGGATTAGCTTGCACTGAAACCTACAGACAGCTGAAGTCTGATAACAATGCCAGGAATAGACAGAGGGCTTAAAAAAACTTAGTTCCCACAGTGGCTCTCAAGACAAACAGCAGAAATACATTTGAGGATGGACTAGAGAAATTGAAGGCAGACAGATTCCAGAGTGAAGTGATTCCATTGCAGTTTGGATTTAGCTGAAGGCTCAGAAAGTTGCAGGCCTACACGGTTGGGGAGAATAAATAGCAGGGAAAGTTCAAAGGATCTATTCTTCTTTCTCCTGGTTACTGCTGCAGCCAGAAAAAGGAATGAAATTACCTTTAGTCTGATTCTGGGAGCCAATCTTTTCCACACATTATTTGCCTCACTTTTTTCCATGCATCTAATTTGCCCTTGCTCTTGCATTGGCAGAAGTGTAGAGGCAAAGGTGACAGTGAAAGGGAGGTTAATCTGTTAAATGTTTAGCAATTATGTCCTGTTATATACCATGGCCATTCAGTGATTGCTCTGTTTGTGGCTGGTACTTGAATACATGTAATTCTGTTCTATTGCACTTCATTTCTCAGAGGTCCTTTCACTAACCAGTGTGCAGTTCCAGGATCATGGAGTCTTTGTATTGCAGAACAGACACATAAACCCAGGTCAGCAGATGTTGAGGCTCTTACTGCAGCTCAGGTCTTCTTGAACACTCCCCAATTGTTACAAACTCTGTATCTGGAACTGTTGAAAAAAAAAGGTAAGGAAAAACCACGTGCCTCAGCCCAACCAAATTCTAACACTCTTTCTCATGAATGAGCACCTTTGATCAGCTATAAAAAATCACTATAAAAATTGTCTGTCAGTGATACTTGTGCTGATACTTGTATCCTGGTCATACCTTTTTCTGTGCAGCTCAATAACAAACCCAAAAAAAAAGCTTCCACTAGTGTCTACTGGGTAATGAAGTATAGGACAGAGAGGTACAAGTTAACCAGGCATAGTGCAGCACTTGCTAAGTCTTTTAGGCTAGTTTCAACCGCTGTAGAGCTGCTCACACTTGGGAACTATGTTTTGTACACATGATCTGCATTTCTACAGTTCCTTGATTGCAACACAGGTGTTGCTTTCAATTCTGAAACCAGAACTGGATGATCTACTTTGAGGAGCCACACACTCCACAGCCTCCTGTTAACATCTCAAGTTTCCTGTGTTGAATGTAGAATGCATTTGTGAATTGCAGTCACACTGCAATTGGAGCACTAAATGCTGCTGTTTATCAGAAGCAGATCTGGAAGGAGTTGGGTGCTGTATCAAGAGCTGATTCAGACAGGCTGATCCTTATGGAAGTTGTATCACTTGCTTCTGATTGTGCCTGAAGTGTTGCAGCGCACCGGGTGAGGCGTGCTGGGTGGCTGCAGCAGGGGTGCGACCGTCCCCCTGCGAGCTCTGCAATTCCCAGTTATCGGCACGTCCAGCACAGGGACAGACAGCGATGACACGGGTCCTGGGGTGAAACAAGATGGATTTATTCCTGGGCTCCCAGACGAGACTGGGGGGACGGGGTGAACAGAAGTTTTTATAGAGCAGCTCAGGAGGAGGGGTATAGGAAAGTGAACCAACGAGGATATGGTAAGGGAGGAGTATAAGGTGGGGCAAATAGCTTATGAGCCTATCAGGGAAAACGGGGTGCGGGGGGAATAATACGAAGTAACAGTAACGAACGGGGTGTCGAGGGCAACAAGACAGACACAGAACTCTCTGGAGAAAGGGATAGGGATAGGGAGGATTGACAACTTGGAAGGGAGGAGGTTAGGGAAGGGCTTGGGAAATTTAGCAACTGGGGAAGGGCAGGGATTAGGGAGAACAGGGAGCAAACACGGATTCAAAGCAAAACACACAACACTGAAGTAAAAAGGACTTAGGTCAGAATTGCAGGTAACACAGTTACCTACTCAAAACCGCCTGTGAGATAGTAAATTGGTCACTGTTGCTTTTAGGACCATTAGCTACTGAAAGTGCACTGCAAGCTGTGGTCAGTAGGAACAGGTGCAATGTTGAGTAATGCGAGTTGTATTCTGGTGGTGAGGAAATGAATTCTCTTTTTCCCCTCAAACCATGGAAGAAGGGCAGTTTCATCTGCCCTTAATCCCAAAAGATTACTGGATTACATCACTGCCCAAATATAGCTGACCAGCCTAGTAGTTCAGAACTTCCTATTTTTCCATCTTGCTGCTTCTTGATCTGTTAGTGATTTAGCAACAATTCAGATGTGAGTGAACGACTCCTATTTCGTTCTAGCCTGTGATGCACCAGTGCTGAATGGGATTTCCTATGGTGTCTCTGGGTGCAATAAAACAAGGAAAGTGTTTAAAGAGAGAGAAATAGAAGGACATGAAAATACATGAGTAAGCAATGGAGAAATTTGGACTTTTTTCCTCTGAGAGAGAGAATGTAGAAGACTAAAAAGAAATAAAAAACCAAACCCGAAAGAATCCCCCAAAACCAAACTAAACCAACTTCTGTTTCAGAGGAAAAGGTGATCTGAAATCACAGAATCAACAAGATTGGAAAAGACCTTTGAGATCATTGAGACTAACCTATGACCTAACACTACCTTATCAACTAGACCATGGCACTAAGTGCTACATCCAGTCTTTTCTTAAGCACCTTCAGGGATGGTGACTCCAACACCTCCCTTGGCAACCCATTCTAATGCCCAATCACTCTTTCTGTAGAGAACTTTTTCCTAATATCCAACCTAATCCTCCACTGGTGCAGCTTAAGACTGCTCTTGTCCTGCAGCCTTGGAAAATAGACCAACCCCCACCTGCTTACTACCTTTGAGAGAGTTGTGGAGAGTGATAAGGTCTCTCCCCTGAGCCTCCTTTCCTCCAGGCCTAACAACCCCAGCTCTCCCAGCTGTCCCTCAGAGGACTTGTATTCCAGACCCTTCACCAGTTTTGTTGCATTTCTCTGGACTTGCTCCAGCATCTCAACATCCATTCTAAATGGAGAGCCCCGGAACACAGTACTCAAGGTATGGCCTCCATATATGCTGAGTATGTAGAAAGAATCAGTTCCTTAATCGGGCTGTCTTCATTATTTCTGATACAGGCCAGGATGCCATTGGCCTTCTTGGCCATGGTGGGCACACTGCTGGCTCATGTTCAGGCTGCTGCCAGTCAGTACCCCTAAGGTTCCTTTCTGCTTGTCCTCTGTCCAGCCACACTGTCCTCAGCCTGTAGTTCTGCAGAGGGTGGTTGTGACCAAAGTGCAGGACCTGACATTTGGTCTTGTTAAACTTTATATTGTTGGATATTGTTGGATTCAGCCCATCGATCCAGCCTGTGCAGGCTGATCTGCAAAGCTCCTACTCTCCAGCAGATTGATATTCACACCCAGTTTGGTGTCATCTGCAAATTTGCTAATGGTAGATTCGATACATCCAGATCATCAGTAAAGATATTAAACAGGACTGGCCCATACACAGATCCCTGGGGGATATCACTAGTGTCTGACCACCAACTGGATGCAACACCATTCATCACCATTCTCTGGGCCTGGCCATTCAGCCAGTTCTTAATCCAGAAAAGAGTGCACCTGTCCAAGCCATGGGCTGTCAGTTTTCCCAGGATTATTCCATGGGTGATGGTGTCAAAGACTTTGCTGAAGTCCAGGTAGATAACAGGACTTCTGTCACATCTTTTGGTACTAAAGGGAAGTGAGATAATCTTCTCCACTAGCCTATTTTGATTAATAAGCAGATCATCATAAGATTTGCAAATAGTACCTGCTATGGAATACAAGTTAATAAACTCTTGAGAAAGAAATTGTTTCATTACCTACATTGTAGCAATTTCTTGGAAAGGCATTTTTGGTTTCTCTGGTGAGATTTGGATACACTACTCTTTCTCCTTCCTTCTTCTTTCTATATTCATCAGTCCTTTTGTTTGCATGCAAATGAGCCACCCTTGTAGCTAATGCTTCAAATTTATTGTATATTTTTGAAAGTCAATTATGCTTCCTTGCCCTTTTTTTTTTCATTCTGGAAGTAAGTACTTGGTATTTCATACCTTTTACTCTTCACCATTTCTGACCTACTACCATCACAGAAAGTTTGATAAGGTTTTATTCTGGATTGGTTTTGTTAGCCCTTTAGAAATCAAAGCCATTCACATTTCCTTGGTATTTCCATCTTTTGTGACTCTGTCCTGCTGTTCTTGATTGCTTTGTTCTTCAAAAATTAGCTTTCTGTTTCCATGATGAAATCTACCACAAAGCAGTGAAATGTAAAGTCAGCACTCTGATGGCGATTGCATCCTGTGGCACCTGGGTCCTATGACCCTCCGGGAGTGCCACAGTGGGTCAGGTCTGCAGGAGCCGGATAGCTATTAAGAAGTTTCCACCGAAGGCGGGAAGACACTCAGGTTTCTAGAGGGTTTATTTTGAGGGAAGAGAAGTCAGAGGCGCAGAGAGACAACCACTCAGAAGGGAGCAAGCTCTGAGAGCCCCATCCTGGGGGCAGGGTAGGGTATTTAACAGCAACGGGGTAGGAGGGTTAGGGTACATTACAACCAATGAAGGGAAGGCTCAGGGGTGGAGTGGAGGAAAACTGACAGGGTATCAACCAATGGGAACAAAGGGAAGGAGTGGCTAACGAGAGGGAGCCAATCAGGGTACACAGAACAGAGAACATTCTGGAACAAAGGGATAGCTTAAACAATGATGGACATGAACAAGGGGAAGGGATAATAAAAGATTGACATCGGGGGAGGTGGGAAATTACACATTGGTCGCCTCCCAGGGCATCTTGGGGGGACTGTCCCCAGGACCCCCTCCCACAGCATCCATTCTCTGCAGGCTCTTTGCTGTCTTATTTGCTTTGTCTTACAAGGTTGTGGCAGGAAAAAAGGGACTAGGAGGTTCCAAGCTACTTCCCTTGTGTTACTCATAAGCCTATTTTGACATTGTCCTACTTTCACTGCTTTATTTATTACCAACAATTAACAGCTGTAATTCCAGTTTTATTCTGGGTGATCTTCTCAGAATGCTGTTATGATACTTAATATTGCTAATACAAGATACTGCTAATAATAAGATCTACTTCACCCTATTTGAAAACCTACCTTACCCAAAATTGTTAAATAGATGATGCTTTGGTAAGGTATGCCAGTCAGCATTTTCCCTGTATGTGCATTAAGAGACAAGGTAGGAAACTTCAAACACTAAGACTTATTGCATTAGTGATGCTTTAAGACTTGGGTCATGAGATCTTGTTAGGGTGGGAATCGTCAGATGTCATCTAGAAGTCTGAAGTGGATCTGTTGGACTAGCTGAATGTGTCTTGAATGAGCTCTGCACGCATAATACAGACTTGATCTGGTTGTTTCTGAGCACCTGTGCCCTGATTTTTTTCTATCATTTGCAGTCTCTCCTTTTGGGAAATGGCAGATTCCTGTGGGCAATGAAAGTCATGAAAGTCCAGATCTAGACATGTAGCCTGGAAACCTTAGCTCCATTTTTTCCCCCATTGCAGTTGCCAGAAGTTGCTGTTTGAAAGTTGAATTAATGTTCTTAATCATTTGGAAATCATTCCTTATTCACATGTCACACCTGGAAACAAAATTGAACAGACTTCTCCACCATCAATGCTCTCCAGTCATATCCTGGATCAGTTCTGTAGATATGAAAAAACAGTGAAGTTTGTTTCTGATAATTTCTTGCACTCCTCACCATCCTCTCTCTCTCTTGCTATTTAAAAAAAAAAAAAAAACAAACCAAAACAAACCAAAAAAACCAAACCACAAAAAACAAACTAACAAAAAAACCAAACAAAAAGAAACAACCCAAACCCAAGAACTACCTTGATTATGGTTGATTATGGTGCAAAGTATCTTTTAAAACTACGTCTTTAATGTAAGGGGATCTTTAATATGGGGACTTGCTCCATTCTTCACTGATTATGCAGAGATGACTGTGAAACACAGATAAAGTGCTAGACAGGTTGCTATGTGCAGAGTCCCAGTGTTACCTCTGCTTTTTTGCACATGCTTAACTTACTAGTGGTGGCCTCTGAGCTCTAGGAGATGTCTAGAATAGATTTTGTTGAATGTCTTAGTGCCTTTGCTGGGCCTTGAATTAAAAGGCAGTTTATATATAACTGCCTGTCAAAACATTTGCAGGTTGACAGTGAGGTGTTACAGAAGTATTTGGCAGTCACTGTGGTAAAGACTTCTTCTAAATGCAATACGTTTCAGCATTTCATACAAATATTTACAGCATCTACAGTATCTAAAACCTCTGACTCCTTTTTCCCCTTTTCAATGGATAACAAGACAATAAAATAATTTGACTCAGATAAAAATTATTAAAACCACCTAAATAATTTATAAATCTAAGGCAAAAATGACTTAAGCATTGTAAAATAAGCCTTTGACTAGGGAATTAGGAAAAATTCCACAAATTTCTGGGCTTTTTAAAGTGTTTTTAAAAATGATAAATAAATAACAAGATGTACATCTTTTGAGGTTATCTTTCTTGTTCTCTTCATGATTCAGTGATTGACAAAGATTTCTAATTTTCTGGAAAATAGTGATATTCTTCTATATCCGAGTCTCTGCTACTCAAATAAACTGAACTGAAAATACATACCCTGGTGGTATGTGTTTACATGCACATATATCAATTTCCCCTTGATGAACCTTGATTTTCTTGAGTTTTCCTCATTTCTCTTCTTGAAACATTGCTCTTTCAGAAGGGCACAGTTCCCCTTACTCTGCCTTAAACCTTATTAGCTCCTGAAACAATTTTGCTGAAGTTCAATTTATTTAGATGAAGGTCCAGGATGAACACTGGTTTGGCTTTTATGTATCAGCAAGAGAAATTTGCTTTAAAACAGCTGGCAGACTTCAGGGGAAAGGTAATGTCATGCAACACTTACTGTCAGCAGAGGATAAATAACTTTCCTTAGAAGACAAAAGCCTGAGAAAAGGACAATTTACCTGATTGTACTGTAATCTCTTTTCAGCACTGGCTGACAGAGCTGGAGATCTTCGCTATGATTTTTGCAGCTGCCATACATGACTATGAACACACTGGAACCACCAACAATTTTCACATCCAGACAAGGTGAGGCAACTGTAAATCATGATGAAGGGTCAGGAAATTGAGGGGAAAATCTTTGGAGAAAAACAGCACAGCCACTTTAGAAAAGTGCAGGAGCTTCTGCTTTCAAGTGTTACAGGAGGAAAGTTAACTTTCTCAGGTTGCATTTAATTTTCTATTATTCAAATATTCACAATGGAATGTGTGTATTCTAAATTCCAGAGCATTGTTTCATATTAAAAACCAGGAAAAAGAAAGTCCCAAATATATTTCCATGTAAAGTTTTCACAGACAAAAAGCTGTACAGAGTGATGTGATTTTACAAAGATAAAGTCTTGAAGGAGATATTGTAATTTTTCAGGTTTTTCTTCTTGTTGAATTTGAGGATTCAAACAATATCGGCATTCAACCATGTTTGTTGCATTCATCAGTGAACATGAACACTACACATACTATTTTCACTTTAGTGGAAAACCCCACCTGCAGCAAGGGGATATGCTTACCACTGCCTAATCAGGGAAATACTTTTTAAAAGCATCATAAATTGCTAGCGCATAATTAACTGATCACAAACTAGACTGGACCTGTGTATTTTATAAAGCTTTTGGGTTGGTGGAAGAGAGGAAAATAAGATGAAGATGGCAGCAAAATTCAGAAGTGTGCAAAGATTATGAAGTCTCTAGTTTCAGTGATAATTGAACATCCAATGTCTGTGTATCATTTTGAGAATAGAAGTGTACTGGTAGAAATGCCAAATGTCTAACTGTCCTTGGCTTACAATGCACACTTGGGCATTTTTAAGATGCATTGTAATTAAATTAGATTACATGTCTATAATTAAAATAGATGTCTTTAGTTTTTGAGCTGAATCGTGCTGTGCATCAATAATGGTTTCCAGGATAAAGCACACATACACACAGTAAAGACTGGGAATGTAGAAAGAAGTCTCTGTCTCTATTCTGGGTGAAGCCACACTATTCTTCTTACAACTTTATGCATACAGGAATTAGGGATCTGCTGTACTTTCCAAATACTTGTAAAAATATTCAAGGAAGGACTGTCGTAATTTAATTTTTCTAACATTGAACATCAGATGGTGTGAAGTATCAGAGGATAAAAACATACACTGCTTTCTGTGAAGCAGATATGAGTGAGAACTGTAACTAAACATATTCACCCCCTGTTGCTGTTAACTTCTTTCTCTTCAGACCAGTTTACCCATCCATCATTCACAGATCTCTGCTCTGGGGCTTAAAATCAGGCATGCAGTACCTTTGGTCCTACTCTGTCCCACTGGCAATTGCCTTTCTAGACAGCATAGTCTAGCACATAGATGTCAGAAATCAGATGAATTATTTCTCACCTACAAGCCAGTTTGCTGTTCTGGAAACAGTGTTGGGTCACATCTTGCAATTCCTTAGTTGGGTACAGTCAGATTTTGATGTCATAGAGACATCTATAAGAGCTAGGAAAAATACTCATGGTTCTAGTCTAAGTTTACATATCTCACACAGCTTTCAGCACTTGTTTTCAGGTATGTAACAAGGCAGTTAGGTGAGTCTCATCTGGTGAAATAAATTTTGCAATGTTCTTTAGATTTCTTTTACTGAGTAACAGCAATTAATATAGTATTACAAGAACTCTTAAAATGCTCATATCTATTCTATAGACTTAATTGCTGTAGATGATTAAAGGGAAAAAAACTTCTGAGTCTCTTTAGACAGGGAAAAAACAACCTTTCCTATGTTTTCTTTTAAATGCTAGGTCAGACTCAGCCATTCTGTATAATGACCGGTCTGTACTTGAAAATCACCATGTTAGTGCGGCGTATCGTCTTTTGCAAGATGATGAAGAGATGAATATTTTATCTAATCTCTCAAAGGATGATTGGAGGTAAAAATGAGCATGGCGGCTGCCTGGGAATATTGCAGCACTATCATAGATTGGTATTACCTTGTTTGAATAGCAATGTGCATTATTGTATATTACATATTAGTCTTTCTATACTACAAGATAAAGAACTTTGAAAAGTGCTTGTATTGTTTATTCCTCCTTTCAGTTTTCACTTCTGATAGTGAGACTAGACTTTGTGACGAGTTATAGTATACATGGGTTGACTTCCATATAATTATTAGGTATCACAGAGACGCTCTTTGTATACATGTAATTGAGTGTAGAGCTAGCCTGCTGTTTCTTTGTCCTAAAGGATAAATATAACCTTTATCTAATTTAACACTTCCTGTCTGGAAATTATAAATGGGACTTAATGAAAAACGTAATCCAGTCCAGGGAGCATAGGTCTAATACATATACTTAGGAGATTTAAGAAGCTCTAATTTAAAATAAGCCTCATTAATTATATGATTTATGTGCTAAAATGAGCCCATTATTAATTTTAGCAGACAGTTAAATGTGAGTTTTCTGTTTGTCATGAATTTCAAGGGGTGATAATTTAAAAATAGCCTAATGTGCTAGACAGGAAGGATCCGGCCCCATAGTCTTTTTCATGGGAGAGGAAGCAGCTTGTGAAATCCTGTGTTACACACAATGCCATCTACATATTCTTAAATGTAACATAGTGCTGAGGAGTTGTTTAATTTTAATATAAATGTGGGGAAATAAGCCTGTCTCTGGGGCTGACTTCTACCAAGATGGTCAGTGAAGGCTCTGCTTGCTAATGTGTTTAGCCTGAGTTTCCTATTTATTTCAACTTCTTGACAGTGATGTGATCCTATAGTCAAACAACAGGAACTTACAGTGCTGTTTTAAGTCAATGTTGTGGAGGATTGTCCTGAAAATTCTACCCACCAATATATATAATAGTGTCATGGTGTGCAGCAAGAAGGAACAGAAAGAAAATATCTCCACTGCGATGTCAAAAATCTATTTTATGTATAGATGGAAATGCCTTATCAAATACTGGGAGATAATTACTGCTTTGTTTAATGCTAGTGAGAAAACATAAGGAACTAAGTGACGAGAAACATTAGTCTTAGAGCCACTGTCTACAAGGAATAGCCATGTTTTTTAGTGGAGCAGCAAAATGAGTATGCTTCTCATTGATTCTGTAGTGCCAATATGTGTGTTCTGCTGATACAATGTGCTTAGAACTATTCAAAGATTAACCCATCCCTTTAAAAATATTTTAACTGCCTGAGCAAAAATATTCAGTGCTTTGGATTGCTTATTTGTTCTCTCTCAAAGCTGGTGATCAAACAGCAGTGCTGCAGAATAAAAGGCATTGTCTGGAAGTGCTGTAATTCCAAAACATTGTGATTTCTACATGTTTTTTCTTTTGACTGCCACTACAAAATCCCATAGGCAAACATTGGGAAGCACTGTAAACATCAGCTGACTTCAGCAAAATCTGAGATGTTGAAAAATAAAACCCAAGAAGCCCAGAGTTTCCCCATTCTAAGACTCAAAAGGAGGACCTTCAGTATTGAAGGATGATTTGGGCAACTAATAAGATATGCTCAAATTAAATTTCACTTTTGTAGACTGATAAATCTCCCTCTGCAACAGGCCTAAGTGATGTTTTTGGAATTCTTAAGTACCTTTCTGAGCTGAGCGCTTACCCTTTTTTTCACATTACTGAGAAATGAAGATCTGATGATCTGCAATCCTAGATATCTATGTGGATTTTATAACTTTTTGGTATTCTGTCATCTAATTCAAGAATGTATTTTCAGGAAAGATACATAGAAAATTGTAGACACATTTCACAGTTGAAAAATAAATGAGTTTTGTAAGAAAAGCAGATGAGAATGGTAGAGAAGTTTTGGGCTACAGTCAAGAAGAAAAGAGTTGAATGGTAGTGCTTAAATAACTCTTTTTTTCTTCCACTGAGAAATATGTATATTTCTCTGGTGCTTATTAAATATTTGAAAATTAATTGAGTTGCTGCATTTTGTGAACCCCATTTATGCAAGTTATAAAATGAAAAAACTCTAACAAAGCCAGATCACAGTGAGCTAAGAAAATAAAGTGCAAATTGAACATATATTTTCCAATATAATGTTACAGATGTCTTTTTTAACACTGTATTTAATCACTAGTAAGTTCCATGCAGTTTATTGAAATCTTTACTGCCAAATATAAAATAAAATTAATAATTAAAATAAAAAGGTTGAATAAAGGCTGAATAAAAAGATATCTGCAAAATGTTTAGTTGTTTAGCTTTGTATAGGAGTACAACTTCAGGAAGTAACTTTAAATTCAGTACTGACTTTCTCAGTAAAGCTGCCTGGTGTTTTGTCCCTCAAATAATTATGAACCCTCCTTGTCAATCACTTTTATTTGTTTCAAGACTGTCATGAGAAAGTATGGGGTTTTTTCTACTGACTTTAGTCATATGCTTTTTTTTTCATAAGTAATAGCGTGTGCATGGTTGCAGGATCATATAAAATTTTCTGGTAAAATTTTGTTCCTATGTACTCAGGATGGGCACATGCATATTCCTTTAACAAGAATTAGCCAATGATGATATTTCTTTTAATGTAGTGTTTTCCTATTAATTTCTGTAATAATAAAATTCTGAGACTTTGAATGAACAAAATTAGCCACATAGATCAGTTCAGGAGACATAACTACTGTAACTGTGCAGTAAGTTTTCCTGTTTTAGACTTCTATACATTCTTGTCACTGTTAGCAGACTTCATTGTCTGTGCATTTCTATGTAAGCCAGCTTAGCTGGTTTGCTGTAAAGATTGATGGAGACCAGCATCTTTAAATCATGGCTTTTGTTTTCTTAGAGAAGTGGAATTATCCTTTGAATTATCTCAGCTCGGTGAGAAACCTGAAAAAAATTATGCCACCAGTTTGTACTGTGTGACAGAGTATAGAAGAGAGAAGTGCAAGCTAACAAGGCATAGTGCAGCTCTTGCAATGTCTTTTAGGCCAGTTTTAACAACTGTAGAGTTGCTCACAGTTAGGAACAGCATTTTGTGGCTATGATCTGCATTTCTGCAGTTCCTTGATTACCACATAGGTGTTGCTTTCAACTCTGAGGCCAGAACTGAATGCTTTTTCCTGAGAAGTGAATTTATGGGGTGGAGCTTGGGAAACAAGCTACCTTCTTTTTCAGTTTAACTACGCCCCTGTCACCAACAAAAAGAGACAAATGCAAGAATATATAAGTTGAAAAGTAAGTTTGCTAAAATAAACCCAGCCACAATCAAGGTAACAGTAATAACCACTAGATACAAAGGTTCTGAATCCCATGGACTCCCCAAGAACAAAGAAAACAAGATGGCAGCAAAGCACCTCCCCCAATATGGAGACTTTTGAAGAAGACCACATTAGACAGGCAACAAAGACAGGATGGTGGAGAACATACATTCTCCCAGCCACGTGATAGAGAGAGAGCAAAGATAAAAAAACCCAAACAGTACAACTGAACCTCCGTGATTACAAAACTCTGTCTTGCCCCAAACAACAGCAAAGGGGGAACAAGGATAAAACAAAGGAAATCTGGAGAACTTGGAGAACTATTCCTGTTCAAAACCAGTCAAATGTTGCTGAACCATTTGCTCCATACCACCTGACAGGGTCTCTCCTAGTGGTGGCAGCTCTGTCAACAGTGGCAGCTGGATCTGGGGCAGCAGCTGTAACTCATGGAGGAATAGGAGAGGATCAATTTTCACAGCATGACTGTCCTGAGTGGCAGAAGCAAAAACATAGGTTCCAAATAAAGGTCCTCTTCCAGCTGCAGGGACAGGGATAGCCCATGGCAACTGTGGCCAAAAAAGTTGTTAGGACATTTCCTCTGAAACAGTCTAGGATTGACAAATGCAGTTTTCTAGAGACCTGCACCAGGCAATTTCCCCTGGAGTTCAGAGGAAAACTGAAGAATGCTTCTGCTTCTCTCTGCTCTGGCCCAGAGAGTATGCCCCAGGAAACTCTCTTGGCAGCCCATAGAGAAACAAGAAAGAGAGCTCTGTCTGCGTTCCCCCATTCTTAAAGGGACCCTGGCACCTCCAGTCTCCACAGACCCAAAACACTGGTTCCAGATCCACTTCTGATCCCTGGGTCTTAATGGGACAGTAACACAAACTGCATGGACTGACATAGAGGAATAGTGGAATACAAGTCACATTTTTTGGGTCACCCACTGAAGACTTTATTCACTCCTTATTCCATATCATCTATATCATGTCCCAATTAATATCTTTTAACTATTTACATATACACTTATAAACAACTATACAAATACAGGTATTATTTCAGTAGTCACTGATTGTTCCCCCAGGATATGCATTGAGTTCTTTTGGTCCATGACTCATATAATGGGAGCAGTTCATTCTCATTGTTCATGTTATTTCCAACATGGAGTGGCATTGCCATTCAGCAACAAGTGTTACAGATGCAATTCAACATTACAGACTGTTCTCACCCAAAGTGAAATCCCCTTGAGGTACATGAACTGTTTCCCTGTCCTGCATTACTCACCAAGTGTAACCAGGTCCTTGAGCAAAAACAATCCTATGGCTGGGTTTGCCTTTGCTTGAAATGGGATTAACCCAAACTGTGTTTCCTGACACAGCTCTCATACTCGTCATGGTGACATTGTCTCCATCTACTGTGCACAGAGGTTATGATTCACTTCAGTTAATCAAACCTCTGGTGTTAACTAACCAGATAGCCTTTGCCAAATGCATATGCCACAGCCTGAAGGTCCCATAAATCATTGCCTTCAGTGCAGTTTTTAACAGTCCATTGCCTCTGCTTGACTTTCCCAGCAGCTGGTACAGGTATTTATAAGGCTATTTTGAAATTAGTCCCATTGTCTGACTTAATTCTCTCAGGCGTGCCATGTTGCTATAGGGCTTGTTTTCCAAGGCCCAGCATAGTGTTCTGGGCAGTGACACAAAGCACAGGATACATCTCCAGCC